GGCACCCTACTCACTGAGCCACAGGTACCACCTAGTCACTAATAATCTTGATGATAAATCCAGTGGTCACTCTCAGTGTCCATTTTTACTCAATTTAGGACCAATACTGACACAGTCAATTATCCTTCTTCTTTGATACCCTTTACTCACTTAGCTTCCAAAACATCATAGTCTATTGGTTTTCCTTCTGTCTTTCTGGTGCACTCAGTCTCTTTTGCTAGTTCCCTCTCTTCTTCCAGAACTATTAATGCTATGGCAATCTAGATTCCCCTCTCTATCAACATTCATTCCCTTGGTGGACTTATTCTGTCTTATAATTATAAATATCATCAATGTCATCAATATGCTAGACTCCAAAATTTATATCTCTAGCTTTCTTTCCTGAATTTCAAATGTCTATGTATCACCTCCATATGCTCATAATATGTACAGAATTGAGTTCCAAATCATCCCTCAAACCTGCCCACTTCTAATCTTTTCCACCTCCATTTTTGGCAGCTCTTTTTGGTTGCTTGGACCAACAACATTGAGTCATCCTTGACTCCTCTCTTCTCTCATATTCCATGTCTTATTCACCATGAAAATCCTGTTGGCTCCACCATCAAAACGTATTTAGAATCAGACTACTTCTCACTACCTCCGTTACTACTAATTCAAGCCAAGACATGATCTTCCCTCACTTAGATTACTACAATTGCCTCCAAAATGATCTCCCTGATTTCACACTTGACTTGATAAAATCTACTGTCAGCACAACAACCAAAGAAATGCTTTCAAAACCCAAGTCAGATCATGTTAACTTTTGACCCAGAATCCTCCAGCAGCTCCACAAAACATTCGTTAAAAAACCCAAAATCTTTGCTATGGCCTAAAGACCCTTCATGATCTTCCCTCTCTTCTATCTTTAACCTCATCTTCTAGTATTCTCCCCTCCACCCCAGCCTCACTCACTGCTCTGGTTACATTGTTCTCATTTTTCTAGAACACAGCAAGAACATTCCTGCCTTTGAACTAGCGGTTTCATCTGAGGCATTCTTTTCTCAAATACCCATATGGATAACTCACTCCTCTCCTTCCAGCCTTTGGTCAAATTACATTTCTTCCACCAGGCCTGCTCTGATCATGCTTTAAAAATTATAAATTGTTTCAAATTCCAACTCTATCTTGGTTATGCCCCTGACTGTTCTATTTTATCAACTTATATATTTAATAGAATTTATCTACTAATATACTATACAATTTGCTTAATTATTATGTTTGATGCTTTTATTTCTTTTTATCTTCTAAGCTCCAGGATGGTAGCATTTATATAATATATTCATAAAGTTACTTCAAACAGTTAAACTGGGTCTTAGCAAATGTAGTTGTTTAATAACTACATGCTGAATAAACGAATGAGTGGTTTGAGAAGAAAGATCTGTAGAGGAGGCGTCAGCCCCTCATGCTGAGTTCACACATCAATAGGAGGATGTTCTGTTACTCTGATCTATGTTACTTACTTGATAGATCAAGAAAGACTCTCATAGGCTCTTTCCAACCTGGAAAGATCTAAAAGGCAGAACCATCTAGGAAAAGTCAGAATCACTTCAGCTATAGGGCCACATTTGCCTGTAGTCTCTTGTCAGAACAGCCTTCACTGGAAGGGACCTCAGCCCTAAAGTCCCCCATTCTCTTGCATTTTCCTCTATTCAGATCTTTCCTAGTTCTGTCATGAGACCCTGTATATGATTTTAGCATGTAAGCCATCAGTCATCTTGCTTCTGTCTGTGTGTTCACTCCCGACATTAAAGTCCTGTAGATGTCGTTTTTCACCTTAGTCCCTATTCGTATTAGTTTCTCTTCCAAGTCTTTTGTGACTCATTGCTATAGTGACATAACAAGGCAGCAATAGTTATCACATTTAATAGTATTAAAATGGGCTGGGTGTTTGTGTCTCCTCAGAATTCATACCTTGGAATCCTTACCCTCAAGGTGATGGCTTAATTGGGAAGTGATTAGGTTCTGCCCTCCTGATTGGGATTTCTGCTCTTATGAAAGAGGCTCTAGAGAGCTGCTTTACTCCGTCCATCATGTGAGGACACCATGAGAAGGCTCCCCCCATGAACCAGGGCTTACCAAACACCAAATCTGACAGCACCTTAATCTTGGACTGTTCAGCTCTAGACCTATGAGAAATACATTCCCATTGTTTATAAGCCACTAAATTTATGGTATGTTATTATAGAAGCCTCAGTGAACTATTGCACATATATAACCTTCTAGAAATCACTTCCTTCTTGAGGTGAAGATATTTTTTAAGTTTTATAATGGTCTTTATAATGACATACAAATTTTTCTTCTGCCTCTGCCCCTCAGTCTTCTATATCTACTTTATTCTTTGTATTGTTTCTTGATTAGCTGGCTGAAAATACAGCTCTAATCCCACTCTTTGGGAGCTACTCAAGGGTTAGGGTTGAGGTCAAGGTAGCTCTCAAAGACTACCGGATAAAGTCCAAATCTCTTGGGTTAGTATCTTGGGCTGTCCATAATCTAGCCACAGTCTACCTCTTAAGCTCCATTTCTCATATGTCCTCATGTATACACTTTCAACTATCCTCTACACATGTGTCAGAGTTTTGGCTTCAGATATTATGCTTGACATGGTAAGCAAATGTTATGCTATGATCTCTTCTTGTTCATGAATACCTGGGGTCCTGAGTGAGAGGCGGAAAGGTGATAATATTTCAAAGTGAGACAGTAACTGGTTTTGTTGGTATTCATCTTTGTAGTCACTCCCTCCCTTCCAAAGAGGTCATATTTAATATACTCATTAAAGAATGTATTGACCATTTGCTATGAACCAGGCACTGGACACACGTTCAATGAATTTATAATAAAGGAGGAGAACCAGACAATGAAGCAAATAATTAGAATATAGCATGGCCTACTATGTACCAAGTATTTCTTGAGAATGTGATGGAAGCATCTAGAATGGCCAGGTCAACTATCACTCTTTTTAGAAGCTTTCTTCAGGTCTTAAAAAATGTTTAGTAAGGACTTAATTACGTTTGCTCAACAAAGGAATAACTGTATAAATTTAAATACAATAAAAGTCCAAAAGTAGTAAAATGAGCACTGAATGGCAAAGGCTATGAACGCAGGAAGAGTTTGCAGGGAGATTACTTGGGGACTGGTGGTTTATAGGGAGTAGCACTAGATTCCCCAAACTCAATGCAGTTTATATCCCCCAAAGTTCTATTGAGATTAGATTCTTCGTCTGATTGACGAAGAATCAGAATTAACAAGTCAGCTTACAAGTACAGAATTAACAGTCAGCTTCTGCTGAAGAAAGTTCTGGTACACTCCTCAGAGTTAAAACTGGGATAGCTGTCTGGATTAATTTTGGGATATGTGACACTTTGATCCTCTAAACATAGATTATATATTTTTGATATTCTACACAGCTATGAACCTTCCCTTACTACTCTTTGTGGGAATTGGGGGAAATAAATCCTGAATGAATATGGTAAAAAAAAAAAAAAAAAAAAGTCTGTAAAATGATCCGCCTATGCTTATTAAAAGGTAGTGAAGTCTCTCTAAAGAAAAGATGACTTCTTTACATCTGGGAAAGAGAGAGTTGGACTCTACTCTGCATCATCTATCATAAGCTGCTAGCTGCGGTCCAGCAGTTCAATATTTATTATGAGCAATGATGGAAGAGGGAAGCAGAGCCCAGTTTGATTTTCCAGATCTAAGGCTGTGTTTTGAACAGCCACTTAGAAAAATGCTTTGACTTAAGCACTGAGCCAGCTTGATTTGGAACTGTCACCACCAAGAAAGAAAATGTCTGGAATACTGCAATGTCATTTCTGGGTAGTCTGTCTTTTATGAGTTGTCGTGCATTACTAAAAGGAAGCTAGTGGATACCGTGTTGGATGGGGAGCTACATGAAACAATTCGTGCTGTCATAGTAGGCAGAAACAAGACCACCGGGCAGAGCACAAGACCACCCAAGGTAAAACATGAGCTCCTATTAGTAACATCCTTGAGACTCCACGCCCTTGACATTTGCATTTCAGAATGTTGTGCCACCAAGCAGGCTGTAGGATAATTATTGCTTTGTGATGATATTTAGCAACTCTCTCAATGTGGACCACCAATTCTGGTTTGGGTTTCTTCTTTTTATTAACACCATCTGAGAATGTCTGTGGTAGAGACTTTGGTAAATTCCATCTGTCCTGTGGCCAAAGGAATGAGAGGAAGAGCAACTTAGTTTGTTAATAGGGAAGCATTCAGCAACAAAAAACCAATGACACATGTCTGAAAGACGCATCATTGAGGGTTGTTTCACCCCTAAACAAAGCATACCGGAATGTTTTACTACTACTTTTAAAACTACATTCTATGTGCAAATAGCCTCTTATTAATTTAAAGCTATGGTGTGATTTTTTTAATCCAATATGCTTTTATAGTCAGTATTTCTATCTCAAACAGACCTGGCGATGAGGGTTTAAGATAAGTTCTTTGTTTTTAAAATTTTTTTGGTAAAGGAAAAATCACTCCAATCTCTTTTTTTTCCTTTTGTTCTTTCTCTCAGACTTTTTTCCTTGGCTTTGTTTCATTTTATTCTACCTCTTATACCAAATGTCTTGGTCAAAGTTTTAAACTTGAATTTCCCCACACCACTTCTTGTCCCTGACTGATTGGTTCCCTGATGACAAATTTCATGTTCAATCAGTTTTTTTTTCCTGTTGCTATTAATATTTTCTTCTCTCATACTTTTAATTCTCTCAGTCACCATTTTACTGAAGTTTATTAAACAGATTTCCCCAGCATTTTAGAATCCATTCACCAACTACATATCTTTCTCATCTTTGTAATCTCAATGCCTTTTACATCCAACTTTTTTTTTTCAAGGCAGTTTCCAGTCTCTGGGGGAAATTTTGGATTCCCCAGAGAATGGTTAACTAAATCTTCCATCAGTAA